AACCTTCAACCCGCCGAAAAGGACCTTTCTCCTGCTGGGCCTGATTACACATGGAGGGTTCAGCAGCAGAAGTTTGCAGATTGATGATTTCACTGATTTATCATGATCTTATGAGGTTCTTGTGACCTATTCATTTTGTCTAGGAATGTCATCGAAACATGTAATTTCACAACCATTGATCAAAACTTTAAATTTCCAGTCGGGTTTTTAATGCATCGTGGACTACATCATCAGCCAATAAAATTCGTTTTAAGTAACCATTAAGTTCCGTCAATAAGTCTTCAGATTTAACAGGGAACCGCAACAATGAATTCCGCATTGCTGCAGAAGTCTACGACTAAGTGCAGTTTTGTAAAGATAGGCGTTTTGAGGCTTACTAGTCATCAGATATATGATCGGAGGGCCAATAATAAATTTAGATGCTTTTGCGAGGTCCGCCAGCCGAACATTCTTACTCCAGCAAAGTCACTTTTTACAAGAAAATGTCTACTACTAATTTTTTTTCAAAGAGTAGTGGGGGAGGGGGGCTGCCCCCAGCCCCTCCCTCTGCGCGGGCCCTGAATTTGCCCGACCGAAAAAAAGATCCAACCCTGTATCCGTTATGGGTGTATGTATTCAGTGGTATATCTGAATACACACGGCAAAGGGTTAAGTTGAACTAAGGATAAAAATGAATCAATGAAATGAATCATAACTTGTACTCCAGTTGTTTCTTAAATAATTATCTTTTTTCTTTTTTACTTTATCGCAGAAAACTAACAAGATTCGAGCTGAGAAAAGAATGCTTGAAGAGGAAAAAAAGCAATTACAAACGGAGTTGGCAAATCTTAAGTTGCTTTTTGCAAATCATAAATGTAAAAGACTGCCGGTGATCAGCGACGAGTCCGAATTTATGAACCTTCTTATTCAAATGGCTCCGCCCACTTTTCAGTCAACCTCCATGGGGAAGCGTATTTGAAAGAAGATTCCACAGTGACACCTCCACTGACTTCTGTTGAGAAAGTATGAAAAACAAACCGATGACTCAGTACATCTTTCTGAAGGGCACCCTCGAATACAGTTCTTCAACCTTCAGTTCTGTGCATAGGAAAATAGCTGAAATCTATTTCTGAGGTCAGGCCTGACGAACACTCCTTTTACGGAACTTCCTTCACTGTATTCGATAAACTTAAGTTTCATATCGAATATCAAATATTCGAGATGGAATATCTGTTACTTATATTAAGCTCGTAATGTTGCTCTTTTATATAAAGAGATATACAATTTCTTTGGATTTCCAAAGGACTCCTAGGTTATATACTGTAGCCGAAATTTTGGCTTTAAATAAACGCATGTGAGAAATCCTCTGATTCGTAAGTTTAGATGCAAAATATGCTCATAAGTATTATGCTTAAAAATGATGTAGTACTTATTCAGCTTTGTAACACCTTAGTATGTCAGCTTTTTTTTCTCGTTCCCGCGACCACTGCGGCATCCTTAGCCTTCATATCACAAGGGAGCTTTAGCCACGACGACAGCGACGGCAACGAGAAGGCAAAAATGCGACAGGCTTACTTCGCAAAACAAGAACTTTGCACATGCATCACACTTGTTTGTACATTTCTCCGTCGTCACTGCACGACTACGACGTGAAAACGCCAAATTTTACGTTTTATGGAAAGTAGGCCATTTTACAGTTGTTTGCTCAGTGCCCTGGCCTTTAAATAGAAGCGAGGCTGCCGGTGACCTTGTTTTGTTACAAACCTTCCTGCTTTTCATGTGCAAATCATGTTCTCATGCTAACAAGCCCGTGAACACATGATCATTTACATATGAAAAACAACAAGGTTTGTAACAAAACAAAGTCACCGCCAGACTCGCTTCTATTCAATGGCCAGGGCACTGAGCACACAACTCAAGAAATCAACTCCAGGGAAACTCGCCCACTTTTGACATTTTCAGCGAATTGGAATAAACGCGACAAAGTTTAAAGAAACGCTAAAAAGTGACGTTTTCGCTGCTGCTGCCTCTCGTCGATGCTATACCTCCCTGTTTTAGCCCAAGCGGGCGAAGCAGTCATTCGCGCCGGCTGGATTCCAATGAGCTGGTCAACAGGCAATGACTCTCTCACTGTTACAGTGAACCCCCAAAAACAGATATTTTACAACCGAAAGACGAGGGAGACTTCAGAGAACTACGACCGCAACTTAAAGCAGAGTGCATTTGCATTCTTTTAACTTTACTCGCGATTTTTGCAGCATCCTATTCTTCCCGAAGTTGACTTATTTCTCCTGACCTTATACAGAGGACCGAGGCGTGAAGACATTCCACTCCAGAAAGAGTAGTAGAGCTTCGTCCTCATGTTTCAGGGGCACCCAACGTCAATTTTTGGAAACTATCTGTTCGGAGGACGATTTGAGATCTAGAATTTTCGGAACATTTGTTGTAAAATTTCTTGCTTGCCTTCCTCTCCTAGGATTTTCAAACATCTGAAAAATGGTATAATTTCCCATTTTTAACGGATTTTTACCCTTAAAAGGTCAACCTAGAAGTTTTGACCCCTATAATTTTCGGATCACTAGACTAAGCTAGGAAATCCGATCAGATGAAAAATTGTTAGGGGATAAAAATATGCCTATATCTAACGTTTAAGTACTAAAATACGTTTAACAATGCTATCTTTAAGTGGTTTTGAACTATGCTCTTGTTGGGTGCCCCTGATGTTTTTACAACCCTCTATAAAATGTCACATCGGGAAGTTTAAAGTCGTAGTCGTACATTGACGGTCGAGAAATCGGTACCAAAAAGTGTGATACACTTGCTGAGTTGTTGTTTTCCTAACTTTATAATCACTCCTTTTTTACTTTTCCGTTGCTTTCGCCGTTGAGGTTCAAAGTGCTTACACTCCCTATTCCAATCTCTAGTTACAGTTGACTGTACTGAACTGACACCCGCCAAAAAAAATACCCCCGTTATGGCGGAAGAATTTTCTAGTCTCTTGGCACTTTGTTATTGGGCTCCACTGTATCAGGGTATTTTGAAATCGTTTTTCATATCATATGTAGAATCTGCCAAGCCACCCGTAAAGGATGGAATCAGTGCAGCGTATTAGAAATATCTGTTTAAAAGCCAGAAGTGAATATTAATTAGTGACAATAAATTAGTGATAATATACAAGGCAGGTAAAACACTTCCCAATCACAAAAAAAGAACAAAATAACAATCAAACAAAAAAATAAAACAAAACAACTTCATCAACAACAAATTAAAAATGCAGTTGATGTAAAACATCAGATGCGTGTAATTTTAATGTTATAACAAATTACTTAGTCTGAAGGTTCAAATTAGCTATGTTATTTCACTGTCTTGTGCAGCGATTGGGAACGATTGCGCTGCAGACGTTTTGACTTATATTTTTATCTAAACAATTCAATTCTGACCACCAAGGTTAGAGTCGTTTTTTTGACATTTTTTGGGGGGTTTTCTACAGGAAGTGTTTTAACATAGAGGGAAAAATCCCGCACGGGGAACAAATAAGACTCAACGGGTAGCAAATAATCCTCGCGATATTTCAATTTCACGAATTTTTTGCTTTGTTTTCTAAGTATCAGCGTAAATGTAAACAGCTTTTATCCTTTAAACATTATTAAAAATAAAAAATAAAAAAAAGATCTCTCAGAGATATCAGTGGCCGATCGTTTGTGTGGAAAAGCGTTTACTTATGACTCACGGTCCCTGGCGGCAGTTGTTCAAAATGTGGACAGGGCTATCTAGTATACCTAACACAGTTCGCTTTCCTAATACTTATTCACTGGATAGAGATTTTTCAAGTAGATAGCATTATCCACCTTTCAGTTGATCAACTGCAGGAGCCAAGAGGTTAATGGCTTTCTTTGGATGCCATCTAGCAATCACAATAGACCTTTTTACCGATACGGCGGCCATATTAAATTAATTCGATTTAAGGAGTATTATAGGGGGCATGAGCACATTTCGTTTGTATTTTCGAGCGCTTTTCGGGACATTTTTTCTTAAAGTTTTGTTAGAATAAGATTGTACGGGAAAAAAGATCCTTGTGCCGTGTTTTGATGTAAGAATGATCGCCTTTTTCCCGAGAAATATACAGTGAAAGACCATATTTCTAATACTAAACTATAGAAAAAGGCGATCATTATTATACATCAAAACACGGCACAAGGATCTTTTTTCCCGTTACAATCTTATTCTAACAAAACTTTAAGAAAAAATGTCCCGAAAAGCGCTCGAAAATACGAACGAAATGTGCTCATGCCCCCTGGGCATCCTATAATATTCCTTAAATCGAATTAATTCAATATGGCCGGAGTATCGGTAAAAAGGTCTATTATAGCCCCGCGAGGCTTTGCACCGCTAGCTTCTCGGTAGTTTATGGAGCTCGCATTCTCTCAACACCATGGCATTCTCCATCCATTCCATTCTAAGATTTGCAATCATTTCCTTTGTTCTATTGAAAATAAAAATTGGATAGTGATCTCTTTTTATAGGGCTTAAAAAGTTTATCACGCAGCAGGAAAATAGAATTAAAACTTGCAAAACCAACTGTAAAATAGGCCGAAGGTCCATGACCATGATGGTTCATTCGCCGAGTGTTTTTGGATTGAGAAACACTGACGATATCTTTGCTGATAAGAGGGGGTTTTTGATACAATCAATGCGAGGTCACAGTTATGTAATGTAACAGGTAGAATGACAAAATGAAACACGAAAGCGCTAAGGAATATTCACTTAAAATCAAACATCCGTCAAAAGACAGAATTTGAAGACACAAAATGGCTTAAATCGTGGAGAACTACTTCTGACTACTTGTTTAATTTCAAATGAAGATTGTTTAGTGCTTCACTTTAATTGTTGTTGTTTTTTTGCTGTCTTTTTTGTCTGTTTCTCATCATCAATCTTTCTTATAAATTTATCTGCTGGGCCAAGGTTTTTTCTTCCCGTTATTTTTCTGCTGTGTAAGGTTTTTCTCACTCAGCATGGGTCTG